TCCGTTCCTCATAGGCCTTAAGGCTACCAACAGCTTCCTCAAACGCCATAGTATTCAAGTCTGAATACTGTTCTATTGTGGCAACAATTGGAAGGAACTTGTTTGTGGCAGAATTAAGCAACTTATTTACTTGTTTTTTCTCCTCAATTGTCGATCCAAGTTCCCGAACCTTAGACACGATCTTGCTGATCTTGCTTGCAAAATCATCAATACTCTCACTTTCCTTCATTCTCAGCAATTCAAACTCTCTGTTCAGAGTTTGGATTCGTGCTTGTTTAACCCGATCGGCTCCAAGAAAACGCACCCTGAGTGCATCCCACACGTCCTTGGCCTCTGCATGTCCTGCTACTTGCATCAGAATGTCTTCCGGTAGTGCCCGGAAGATAAAGGCCCTTGCCTTCTTCCGGATCTTGACGTCCACCTCCGTCGCATCCGGTGGTTCTATGGCATCCCAAATTCCTTGGGCATCCATAAACGACTGCATCTTGATAGCCCAAGATGTATAATTTGTTGTAGTGAGTACAGGACATTGGTACGTTGTCGAGCCTCCATCTCGAACTGGGGTAACAGCAACAACATCGTTTGTTTTCTTAGTATTGATGGCCTCCATCACAGACTATTGTTTTTCAGGCGTATTGCAAGACAACTACTGATCACAGATCTGTGTTTGATTTTTTCTTAACCAGGGCTCTGATACCAATTGAGAGAAATAATGACAGATCTAAAGTATAGAAACAGTGTGTTTTTATTGTGGAACTGCTGTCCAGAACAATGTGCCCATACATATAAATAGAGGACTAAACAACACGACCATTACAAATAGACACAACAGTTTCTAACCAACACATCTGTTGGAAACTGTCATAAAACTGCCTGTAACTAGTAACTGCCTACCTTTTTTTTTTTTTACTTATTTATTTTTAAACTTAAACTATATTCTGGACTGGAATTAACCAACAAATTTAACATGGAATTGTGAGTGAAGCCATAAAAAAAATATAATCAACATCCCTAAACCAAATCAAAGGGAAGGTGAAATTACCTGGGCGATGAGGAATGGGAGCAGCATTGGAGAGGAAGTATTGTAAACCAATATTACCAGAGATTGATGAAGGAAAAGACAATTGCACCAAAACCTGCATCTCTCCCCGTCAAGCTTGAAATAATTAGGGAAAAATTTTAGAATTTACTTGATGCCAAGTTGAAGAAGAAGAAGAATACCTGTAGTTGTAGTCGTTGCACATGGTGGTGGTGGTGGTCTTGCTGGGCCAACCACGTCAATCGCCTCTAGGCAATGCCATGCTCAAAATCGAGCAGAAACAAACCACCACAATTGCCGCCTGAATCACCGCAACCTATTTCTTCATTCGTGAGAGAGGCCGTGAATGCAAGGAAATCAGAGGCACGTCATGACTCCGGTGATGTCGTGCACCCCATAGGTAAAATCGATTGAAAGATGAAAATAATCTCCCTTGAGGTCAAAGAGGTGAAGAGGTTTCATGTGCCGAGTGCAGAGAGAAGCTAAGCGAGTTCAGCGTCCATTCAAAGCCATCCAACGCTCTTATCCCTCGTGGCATAGTAATCCAGAACATGCGCCATGTCATTTGACACACGTGTCAACACCACAGCCAAACAACCCTTCTTTATTTATATATATATATATATATATATTGACACACACACACACACATATATACATATATATATATATATATATATATGATTTATACTACTTACAGTAATTTTTGACATATTTAAACCAAAATTCTATAATTTAACACAATATGAATCAAGAGCAGAACAATGAAAAGATAGAATATCTATCAAAATTGAAGCCAATAGTTGTCAATGGAATAAAAACGGGATTGAAAGAATAAGGTCTAGGGTTTACCTTGATGACACGTTGAAAGAAGAAGAATACCTACGGCCATAGTTGATCATAGTCGCTTTGAAAGAATAAGATTCACTGGTGATGTTCCTAGCCAGGCTCGTCCCTAAAATATAATCGGGGCTTGTTCCAATATGCAGGAAAGTGGGATTTGAATCCACATCCAACCAAATCAAGAGCAGTATGGCTTGAGAAAAAGTCTGATCCGTAGCAGGCGCCAATAGAAGATCGGAGTGATCACTCTTTCTTACCGGAGCAAGGGAGCAGAGCAGAAAGAATTGATAAATGAAGAAGAAGAACAAATGAAATTCATAGGACATGAAAGATTCTGGCGACTCCAAACTAACTTAATACAGAGTAATTGCAAGATGAAGAACCCAAGCAGAAAAAGGAAGAGATAATAATGGTTGCAGATGAAATGAACTCAAGGAAGATGCATCACGTTTTGTTGAATTCAATAAGGCACACAGTAATGTACAAACATCAGCTCTGCTTCTAGCATTTCACGAAACGAATCATAAGGACGAACATCCTGCAATTTATCTCAATTCTCAGTGCAGATTACCATTCTCAGATATGCAAAATATTTGTAACCAGAAATTCAAAAAGTAAATTTGGCCTTTTTACCTTAACCTGAAGAACTAAGCATATATTGATAAGGATGGAAGCTCCCACTTAATTTCTTAACACCAACACAAATCATCGTTAGACACTTCTAAATAAACTTGTGCTATGTGAACTTTATGCAGACATGTTTTTTTTCTACTTCACTTAAGTGATAACATATCATCTTACTTATTGTAGTGACTGATAACACACCTTCCTTCAACGTGTAATATAAAATACATCCAACTAAAAATGGATTTTTTTCATCAATTGTTCTTCTTCAACATTTTAAAGTGTTCTTTTAAGTAATATTGAAACCTCAGAAGAATAAAATTCATCCATTTATGAGAAGATGCTACATGCTAAATTTATATAGATGGATGGAATAAATTGGAAAAGAACCAAAGAAGTGTCTTGAGAGGAAGAAATAGCAACAACTTGTGTGAAGTTCATCGGGACATTTTTCCGAACACTTGGTGTGCCTCGTCATTCGGGAAGGAAGGCAACACAAATGTTGCATACAAATGCAAGTATATGGTATTTTTAACTTAAAGAACAAATGTAGACACACTACATCAAGAAGACACAAATTCCTAAAAAAAATCAAACCCAAAGAACAACAAACAATGAATCTAGGGTTTATTCATTGTTACCTCAAAAGGGTCGTTTATGATGCAGCTAGGATCAAATTATTGCTTTTAAAAAACTCTGTACAAATAATGGAAAAAATAACATTTACAAAATTTAAGAACTTGATTAATAGAAATTTAATTTCAGAAGAAGAAAAAGAAGAAGAAGAAGTTAACAATGAGAACTGGCGGCAGAGAGTGACTGGAGTTTTACCTGCGATGATGAGAAGTAGAAGTACACACATGACCTAATTGAGAAGCTTACGGGGGACGCCAGTGAGAAACTTAATCGACTCTCTGAATAAATGAAAATGAAGAACGACTGAAGCAAGTCGATAAACCTGGGAAAAGAAACGGCTACAGAGAGGGAATGGTCATCATCATCATCATAACGGCAAAGAAAGAGACTACCAACTGACTACGGAGAGGGAATGGCCGGAACACTGACTTCTGGGTTTCCTTTGAACTAATTACGGAAAATTGAGTAGTAAATTTTCCAACTGTGCTATGATCTACTTGTCACCTGCCATGTCAACCGCCACATGTCAACCCAGAGCTAATAAACCCTACTTTATACGTAGTATATATAAAAGTTTTCTTACTCCGTTTGCTTAGTATTACGTGTTTGATTTTAATTGTTTCAGTTGTCAAATACTTTTAGAAAAAAAATAAAACTTATATCGTTGAGTTTCATATTTTTCATACATTATTTTAACATAATTTATTTATCAAGAAAACAAGCTCACTTGAACAAAGTAATATTATTAAGATAGTAGAGAGGCTGAAGACTTATTTTATTTATTATCTTCCACTCATCCCCTCTAGTAAATTTAACACTAAAAATTAAATTCCATGTTATTATTTTATTATATAATATACATGTACATTAAAAGAGCAGTGACACATATATTTTTTTGAGTAAGATTTTTTCATACTTCAATTGTAACTTATTTTTTTAGATAATAGAGTCTTTATTTGTACTCAAAAGTTTTAAAATTCCTTGACTGGTTTTCAGGGCGTTACAAGTGGAGTATGTTTCACTGGATCCCTAAATACTCTGAAATTTTTTGAAAACTGAAAACTGTGAATTTGAACTCTTAAAAATTGAATAAGTGTATTAAAATTTGGGTGAATTTTGAAATGAACTGAATTATAAAACCTTTGAACTTCTGGAAGACAATGAATTTTGATTGGGTTTCCTTTTTTCAGCAACAAAAATATGTAAATTTGAAGAATCTGAAATTGGAAGTAAAGATTCGAAGATATGCGCAAGTTATGAAGATTATGAAGAAGGATGCAGATTCTGCTAATTACCTGGAAATTGAAGAGGGAAACAACGCAGGATGAGCAAAGTGAAGGAGAAAAATGAATTAAAATCTAAAGTGGGAAGAAAGTGATGTAGTGGGGCGGTGGGCGGCAAGATGGACGAATAACATCGGTGTACGTGTACATAGCCTGGAAGAAAAAGAAATCGAGAAAAGAAACGTAAGTGGACAGAAAAAAGTCGAAGGAAACACTCTTAGAGCCTTATATATATATATATATATATATATATAGGCACCACCCATCAGTCAGAATGAGACTTGCACACCTATCAGACATGGTTGTTTGGGCATTAAAAACGCCCTCAAATGGAACCAGGCTTGTATTATGAAATTAAATTGGGATGTCGCTAACAAAAAAGATGTTCTATGGATTAAATGGGTTCACTCTAGGTACATTAAGGATGAGAACTTCTGGGGTTTCCAACCAAGAAATGATAGCCCATTCTATTGGAAAATGATGCTCGGTGTGAGAAAGGATTTTGATGGCATGAACAATAATACACCATTTCTTATCCGTAAAGGGTATGAGTGGCTCATGGAAAACAGAAACAGGCCAGATTGGGTGAAATGGGTTTGGTGCAAACCTGCCCACCCTAAACACCAATTCATAATGTGGATGATCTGTAAAGGGAGACTCAAAACAAGATCTGAACTCAAAAAGTTCATGGACATCGAAGACAAGTGTGGTATATGCGGAGAAGAATCTGAGACCATCAAGCACCTCATGTGGGAAAGCAAAATACCTAAGGAACTAAGACTGCAACTTCTGTCCAGATTCGGACTTAAGCTGGAAGGACCTGGGTATGAGGATGTTTACACACACATGAAGAATATAAAGAACAAAAGGAGGAGGAACCTGCTGGCTGCTATTCTGGCTAACTATTGCTATCAAACTTGGAAGATCAGAAATGCGAAGATCCATCAGAAAACTTACACTTTGGAGGCGGCTATGAAGAATGCAAGTTTTTATTTCAAAAATTACTCTCTATATAGATGCAAATAGTATGCTGCTAAGCTTATAAATGATGTAATCTTTTGAACAGTGGGGTTGTTAATGAAAGAAATGTATTTACGTTCAAATATATATATATATATATATATATATATATTAATAAAAGGATTTTATTCAAAAAAAGAGGAAAAGTACATAAAGTGGGGGTGGCCAACCCGGACAAAAGGCCAAAAAAAAAAAGAAAGTGCAAAAACAAAGGAAAAGTTAAAAAGGAACACAACAAAAGGGAACAAAGCATCTAAGGATAACCCCAAAAAGACTTCTTCCACTTGACCCATAGCTCACAGCAAAATGTGGCAGTGAATAGGGCCTAGCCCACTTGCTTGTCTTCCCAGTAGTTAATGATTCCAGCAAGGAGAAGCTTCAGGTGGTAGCCTCAAAACCTATACCTCAATAAAGTAGTCCCTCCAAGAGAAGTTTTGTGTAAAGAACTTCCAAGCACCGGGTGTAACACGCAGTCCCAAGACCAAATACCCAGCTATATCAAGAGCAGATTTCAAAATCACCATTATACCCTGCAACCCTTTACAAGCCCTTAGTAAGCCCATACCAAAAAATGACAGTTCCCACGGAGAACATCTACCATGTTAACCATTCAAGAGCCTTTAAAAACCAAAGTGCACTCCAGTAGCATTCAAGGCATCATTTGCCAATGACCACAACATAACAGAGACAAAAATTAAGCCAAAAATTAGGAAAGGGCAAATGCCAAGACAAAACTTGTGTACACCATTGAACAACAAAATAAACAAACCCTTTCCAATAAAGAAGGAGAAGAGACTTGCTGCTAAAGCACATCCTTACCCATAATAATCCAAATCTCGCGAACCCCATTGGTCTTCGGATTCTAGAGAATGGTCAGATCGTATAGGGGATGGTAGTCTCCTTCGCCTTGCAAGTCTAAGACTTCGCCTGGGAGCAGGGGGGCTAGTTCCTCTAACACAACCCCTCTCAAAAATGATTCGACCTTGATCATTATTACGAATTAAGGCAGCAGATAATCCCTTAGGACTACCCCAGCGTTGAAGGTGGTCATCAGGCTCTATACCATCATCCGGGTACCACACTCTCTCCGGCTCCGGGTCTGGGTCAAACTCCTTATCATCTCTGAAAAAAGCTTGGAAGTCAATGTTATCCTCTTTCACAAAAACCTCTGAGTCAGAATGGCAGTTTCTAGCAGAACAGTCTTGAGCACTCTCTCCGGCCCTCTGGATAAACAGCCACAATAGGATCAACACACTCTACTATAGCTAGAGACTCTTCAGATCTATGAATCATAGGGGTTTGAGCTTGAGAGAACCCAGCTTCCTCTTCTGTGAGGCCCCCAGATTGCTCTTCCGTGGGTTGGAATTCAGTTGAGTTTGAAATTTTAGGATAGGGGCTGTCCACAACCAGAGACCTGTGGAGATTAAATCTAAAGAAAAGATGCAACGATAGAAACCAAAACTGATAAAAACAGACTCCAAGACCAGAGATTTCAGTCTCCTTAAAATGGGAAAGCTCTGCAACAGAGAAGCCCTTATTGCCAGCCAAACTCCTGTGTTTCTCACCCATATTGTTAGTATCTCTTGAAGGGGAAGCCTCACTGTACTTCTTCAAGACTTACAAAGGTAAAGGATCAGGAGCAACTACTTTAGAGTGTCCAGCATCAATGGAGGAAGCAGCCCAATTCTCGCATCTTGCATCAGGCTGAACAGAGGAAAGGGCTGTCAAGGACTTGTCAAAGAAGGAATCAATGGCTGTGAGAAAAACATGGAGACCATCTCTATCAGTAGGAACCAGAATAGAGTTACTCCTATCAGCACATGATCCGATAATTCTAATGTAGCTACCCCATCTGTTGGACCCAAAGGAAGCTGTGAATTTCCTATTATGAGTCTTATCAAACCGGGTTATTGACCATGGTTTCCTCATGTTAAAGGTTGGAAAGATCTCAATAAGCCATTTCATATCCTCTAAACCAAACCAAACATGATATGATCTATTCCCCATCTCCGTGATACAAAAATTCTGATGATAATGAGAATTGAGAAGGAAAAAGACCTTGGATTGTATGCGGAACGTTTGACGCCGATTGAGGCTAAATTCCAGATGTGAAGACTGCGACGGCGACACCTTTGAATTACGAATATCAATCCCGGGCTGAAAAACCTTATTGAAATTGCTATGTCCAACTGTCCACCTTTTTCCCTTGGCCGAAGAACCTAGTTGAACCTGACGTTTAGAGAAATCCCACCCATCGATTGAAGACCCTATCCTACCCGGCTAGGAATCCGATTAACTCAGCGGCGGCAGAAGTTGCTGGAGAGGAATCTTCTTTCTAAACCCATCCCTATATATATATACTAGCTAAGAAGGCACTTTGTGCCAATGGTGCCCAACAAAAGGGGGAAATAGTGAACTAATAGCAGTAAAATAATAGAGAGAGGAAAAGAGACTAAATAAGATCAAATAAACTCATATATGAACATATAAAAGTGCTATTGAAAACCAAGGTGTCTCTCTCGGACCTCTGAAGTCCAAATATTTCATTACATGTTCTGCTGTACGACTTCAAATGATCAAAATGGATGCTTTCAGAACTGTTTTCTCTTGTTCCAAAATAACTTTTCTCTCTTTGCAAAGATATAGAGAAGACCAATGAAAATACCAGCAAACAGAGAAAATGACACCCATGGGAATGGTGGATCCTTGAAGCAAACAAGGGATGCCTCCAAAACTTGTGAAGCGCGGTAAACAAGAGAGTGAGCAGCATACAGATAATGATCTTATGACCTGAGATAGTACAATGCCATCTCGAAATCAAAATGTGACAAAGCAGAAACTGCCTTATCCAGCTTGTATTTGAACAAATTCCACCTTTGGACAAGCTCAAGAAGCTCGTTACGCTTGAGGAGTTTTCTCTCCGCACCATGGGCAGCAATGGATTCAACTACATCAATGGCACTCGTGAGACTACATGTTGAGGTTTGTCAAGAGAACATTCCTTCTGGCAGCATCCTTCTGCATGAAAGACAGAGACGAAATCTCTGAAAACGGACCAAATGGTGTGTTTCCGACGCTCCACGTATCGTCCACAAGAGTGCTGTTGTGCTTAGGGCCCCACAGGAAATGTGTTGGGGAGACTCCCCACATACTCTGTAAAATAGAACCAACAAGAGGCCTCTCTAACTCACGAGTCTGGGAAAAAACATGGCGTCCATTACAACTATAGTCGCTGACAGCCTGAGTACTTTTTCCTGACCGCAATAACCATATCTTTGAATGCCACAGCCTGATGGTAACGGTCGAGCAACAAAATCATGCTGACATCCAAATCAAAAACATAGACTGGGACAACCCTCCCAAAACCTTCATCCAAAGGAAGCTTCACCACCCGGTAAGAAGTAGTTGCCCTTGTAAGAAGTAGTTGCCCTTGTAATGGCAAAAGAACAAATTAAGCACTCGGTTAAAATCACCTCATACTTCTTAAAGCTTAAAGATTGATTGCCCAACAATAACCCTTTATCATTAGCTTCATCCACAAAGGTCTTCTCTATTGACTTCCAATCCAATCCAGTGCTATCTTTGTTTTCGGGTGAACCATTTATGTGTATGAACTGAACAATCAAGGAATCCTCAAAAGGGACAGGAATCCTCAAAGAAGGAACAGCAAGTACCTGGTAAGCACTCCAAACCAGTGAAGCCAAGTCAGAAAGCATAGACTTTTGAGACTTGGGTCGGCCGTGGATAGACGCCAGTGGATGAAACTCGCCCCTAGGCATAAGACCATCGCCATAGAGTGCTGGACCATACTCCACTGGGCCAGCCCCTAAGTCGATCCAGATGTAATGGTCTTTCCCTGTCCAAATGGTGCCTAAGCACTTGGTAACTGCCGGGGACTGATCACCATGGCCCATGGTCACCAGCTACACCCATGGTCCATGGGTGTAGCTAAAAGCATAAGGCTAAATCAAAAGAATTGAAACCCAGAGCAAACAAAAAAAAGTCAAATGAATGATATTGAAGACAGAAAAAAGAACCGTATTGGAAGAAACTGGGAAAAAAAAATTATAAAGTTTTCGAGAGAAAAAACAAATGAATGTTTCTAGGTCAAAGAAGACTAATAATGTTCATGAAAACTGACACTTTTGGGGGATGATTTTGAAACCTAAGGGCTGACTTTAATGAGAAATTTGGTACTTTAAGTGCTGATTTTCAAAGAGAACTCAGATTTTGAAGTTAATTTCCAAGCAAATAGCACACCTTTCAAAAGTAACAATACTGTCACATGAAACATAAATGCATGAACATGATGTACCAAAAAATCCGTAGACTCCTATTTCTCTCATTTTCATCTAGAAAATTGGGAGAAAACAAAAGAACTACAACAAAATAAATGGAGATGAAAGGAGTCCAGTGCTTAGGCCTCATATTAATGTCATCTAGCCATTACTAAAAAGGCATAAACAAATTTTATCTATAGAAGTGGGTGGAGTTTCAGCGGATTCCTAAGTTTTCTAACACAGATTGCTGTGAATTTGGGTGGAGTTCCAGCGGATTCCTAAGTTTTCTAACACAGATTGCTGTGAATTTGAACTTTAAAAAATTTGAATAATCCCAAAATTTTTTTAGGCCTAAACCTGGGAATTTGAAGTCTTAAAAATTGAATAAGTGTATTAAAAATTGGGTGAATTTCCGAATAGAGTGATGAACTTTAATTGGGTTTCATTTTTTTCAGCCACAAAAAAGGTGTGAAATTGATGAATCTGAAATTGGAAGTAAAGAAAAAGCTGTGAAATTGAAGACAAAGCTGTGAAATTGGAAGAATTCCCAAAGAGCCCAGCCTTTTTCGAAATCAAAATTTGGGAAAAATTGATGCAACTCAGTAAAGAAGAGTGAGCAGAGGGAGGAAGAATACCTGCAAAGTTGTAGCCAGAATAGCCGTACCGGAAGAAGAAACTGGCTGAAACCGTGAAAACCATTCTTTTCTATAATACTCCACTGTGAAGAGGCTTGGATCGTGGGGCGGTGGGCGGCGAGAATGACCAATCCGTTTCATGGTTCGTGCTAAACACAGGAAGAAGATGGATATAACACCATAGACCAACACCATTCTTTCACAACTCTTCAAGGATTAATCGTGTAGCATTACATAATCCATATATATGGTTAATGTTTCTCAATATCAAAATCGTTAACCCATTTTTAAGATTATTTTGTAGTTTTGGATCTCCAAACATTTGATTTCATTTAAAATTTAATTGTTATTTAATTGTCATCAATAATTACATATGAATCGGCCTGACATGAAGAATCAAAACTCAGGCACACCATTTCATATTAGGGAATGCGGGATATGACAAATTCATTTACCATTTCTACAACCTCAAGCATGGTCCAATAGTGCCCTATCCTAAAAAATGAATAAATTTTCATACTCTCCAATAGGTTCAATTAGGATAAGTGAAGTCCACTATACTCTTCACAAAATAACTTGTGTCTAGAATTAATAATTTATGTGGAATTTTAAGGTCTCATCAATCACTTGTCTAAGTTTTTCATCTCTAACTTTAATTATCTAATCAGAAAAAATTTGTGTGTCTCTATCTGGGATAGAGGACGTAGAAGAATGTAATATCATATTCTTCGCTAACATATAAATTTTAAAATACGACCATAATTTTAAAGAATAGATGATAACACTCACAATTTTCTCTCTTGAAGTTTTGGGTAAAGCAGGAAGAGTTTGCCAAAAATCACCTCTGAGTACAACTATTTTCCCTTCGAGTCCTACTTTTTCCCATCCGAATTCAACTATTTTCCCTCCAAATGGTTCATTTCTAAAGTTTTTATTAGAGAAATTCATTACATCTCTCATTTTGTGATCCAGCACCTTAAAAATAAATCTATTCATCATACATGCTCCATCCCATATTATTAGACTTACTTGTTGGATTAGTTCTACTTTCGGACTCTGTTGATTGATGGCACACGTTATATAATTGCCCAAAGAGATTGAGAATCTCAAGTGTAATGTCATTCACCTATGTTCTTCCCCCATGAAAAACTAATGTTGTAATACCACTGGATGTGATGACATTCAAGACAATCTTATCATTTGACATTAGAGAAATAAACACTAATTTCCATAAAAAAAATATTTTTTTCAGTTCGACGATGACCATACATAAAAAAGAAACTTCCTCTTTCAGGTGTCACAACTTCCATTATCTCATCGTATAGATTGTGCTAATATTCATTCGTCGTAGATAAGTATCTCACAAGATCATATGCAAACTTTTCTTTTTCACTTTTATAATGCAAAACCATTCAAGCCCTTGATAGTATTCTCGTCAATATACAAAATGTTTTATCAAATTACAAATAATTATAATTTTGAAAATATATTTCTATTTGATGTGGTTGTAACTTGTAACTTAGTCTCGATCTTATTAGTCTCCATTCGGATTTAATAGTTTCATTTGACTTTTCTTGGTCAAATTTTGTATACTTTAACCTTGTTATATAGAAAAAAGGATTCTCTTCATGTTTAGTAGCTAAATAATAAATTTTGGAGTTCCGACCAACAAAATTGGAAATCTGTTCTCGTAGGCTCCGCAAAGAATATGGAAAATAATATAAATCACCAAAAAATAATGCTATCAATTTCCTTTTTAAATAAATTACTAATGATGCCCTCCCTTAAATTTACCAAATGAAGTGTGAGTACATCATCAATTACACAATAGTTTTCACAATTTCACCTATATACACTATAGAAGAAAAAAGAAAGGTATGCAAAGAGGTTCCCAAGAAGTTGAAGGAAAGATGACGATTTTGTAAAATAAAAAAAGATATATAAGGTAATATAAGTATAGAAGGAAACTTTTGGTAGTTACTAATCCATATATATATTACTCTGTATATATTTCCTAAACAAAACTAAAAAAAGTCACTCAAATAGAAGTAAGACAGAAATCTTATGCCCAGAATAAGAGTTTAATATTTTTATTTCCTAAATAAAGTTTACACAGTGACGTTATGGCACTGTATATTACCATTATATAATGTTTTTAGCACTATATAATAAAATATTGGTATTATAGTTAATATTTTGGAGATAAAAAATATGAAACTCATATTTTGGCACTTTCTCCATATTCTAATCTTATTTTAGTTTTTTTTCCCAAATAATTATAGTGGCACTTCGTAATCCGTATAGGTGGCGGATGATTTGTTAAAATGTTGCCATGTAGACTCTCCACTTATTGTAATTCTATGAGTTTAACTCTTAAATTTAATATATAAAGATAAAGATTGGCCTCAATATATGAAAAACATTTTTTGTTTATCTATAAATGCAATATCAATAATCTTTTTTAAAACGTTGTTTTGAAATATGAATTTTCATAAGATACGATAAGTATAAATATTGATACTAATGATCAAAATATTATATTGGAGAGCGTTAAAAGTTAAATGAGAAGATTAAATCTACTTATACAATGAGGAGTTTTAACATGGTCATTTTTTTTCAAGATGTGTAGCAACCAAACCCATTCTTTTTGTTTAGCATAAGACCACTAACCTAAATATAAAATTAATAAAATTCATTCAGAGAAGTAGGTGCATAATTAATTATTTCATAAAAATGGATGAATCTAAATCACTTTTTTATGCAAAAATATACTCCCTCTGTCCCTCATAGATCTTCTCATTAACCCTTTTTATTTGTCCACCATAGATCTTCTCATTACCTTTTTTAAGAATTAAAATATACTCCCTCCGTCTAGAAATATTCTTTTCGTGTTGACTTGACACGCTTATTAAGGAATAGTAAAAAAAATATAAAATTTTCAAAAATGCATATAGTATATACTTGTAAATCTCCTTTTATTATTAAAAAAGTACTAAAAAAGTAGATTTGTGATAAAATAGAAGGGTATTATTGAAATTTATCATTAAAAAGTATACTAAAAAAGGAAATGGGAAGAATATTTCCGGAAGGACCAAAAAGGAAAGTGGGAAGAATATTTCCGGACAGAGGGAGTATACCACAACTATCCCCACTTACTTTATTTATTACACCTCACCTACCTCATTTAATACCTTCTACCCATTTTCATTAAGGGTATTATGGTAAACTATCACATTTTTTCAACTCTTCTTAAAAACCACAAAAAGTCAAAATGAAAAGATCTTAAGGAGACGAAGGGAGTAATTCTAAATCCAAAAATAGAAAGTGTTCTCTACCCCCCCCATACGTATATATGGTAAATAAATTGGTATGTTTAAATAATTCTAAAAACTTTATTCATTAACTGTCTCAGTTTGCTGTCAAATGTTTTAATAATTATTTATATAAATATATAATGAATTGAAATATTAAAAAATTAGACTATAATCTCAAAATAAAAAATATGTTTGATAAAAAATTTCATTGGTCAAACATATCATTCGAAAAATGAACCGGGTGTTAAAAACAATAAAGTTACTAATTCTTAAACTATGTTTAATCAATAAAAAATAAAATAAATTAATGTCAAATCAATACTCTGTATGTTGATTAAAATTACCAACTCATTAAAATAATACTCCATAAATAGACAATAGACGATTTATTAAAAATGTCATATTAGCTCGTGACATGCCAATATCATTAAGCCAGAGTCTCAAATTTTATAATAAAAAGAAGGATTAGCCAATAAATGTCATTAGCAATTAATTGAAAGTTTTTTTTATAATTAACATTTATAACCTCTTAATTATAATTACTTTACATATACCCCGGAGTATCTCGTAAAAGTTTTTCATATGTGCAATAATTGGGAATGAATATTTGCTCTAATAAGATGTTTTCATACTTTAAGTGAAAATTGCCAAGTCACTTAAGTCATCAAATGTGGCTGATGACGTGTAAAAAAATTTGCCAAGTAGCCTGCCACATGTCGAATTTCTAGGAATTTAACTCCCAAATATTATATATAAAGGATATTATTATTATATTATATATATTAGGGATATATATATATATATATATATATATATATATATATATATATAGATTTTGGTTCAGGTGAGAATGCAATCTTATGAAAGAAATAAGAATGAATCTGGTGCTTTAGATTGTAAGATCTAAGGGTCAGGATTGCATCAAAAATTAGGTGCACCAAATTGATCTAAAAATGCATCATGTCGAAATGCACCAAAATCCTTCAAAAATGCACTATCCCAAAATCTGAGTGCAGGATGCAATCTGAGCCGCAAGATGCATCAAATCCAAAAGCTAGATTTTATTCTTATTTCTTTCACCAAGGTGCATTCTCACCTGAACCGCCCCCTATATACCCCTATATATATATATATATAGGGTGCGGTTCAAGTAAGAATGACTCACAATGAAAGAAATAAGAATAGACAATAGGCATTGATCTTGTAAATCTAACGGCTCCCATTCATGCAAGAAAAAGTAATTGAGATTGACTATAATTAATGTGGCAGGCCAATTTTAACGTAAACATAATGGAAAAGGGCATATTAGGGAAAACACTTGCCACATCATCCACGATTTTAGCACAATCTTGCGTATTAAATTGTGTTTCCATTAAATGGCCACATCACACCCATGTATTGAGCACAATACTACGTACTCCGTATGCTTTAAGTTAGGATAATAAATACTACCTCCGTCCCCTGTATTTGTCCACATTCGACTTTTGGAACTGTTCATCTAAGCACTTTGACTCATCAAATTCTCTCAATGTGTAAGCCTAAATATAGTCATGTGTGATCTTGTTTGATTTGTCTTAACATATAGATTATTAATATATAATTTTTATAATTTTTTAATATACAAATTACAAGATAAAATGGATTAAAGAAGTGCATTGGATGGTGTGTAAAAATGAAAGTGGACAAATACAGGGGGACGGAGGGAGTAAGAAATATTTGCACTAAATAGTACTAAAAATTAAATCATTTCCCTAAATAGCACTTAAACTATTTATTCCCTAAATAACACTTAATAATGCCCAGTGATAGCGAATATTTACTTGAATAATGACTAATGCATAATGACTACAAGTGCGAAGAAAAACACATGTGATGCTATTTAGGGAAAGTCATTATGTTTTAGT